AAGAATGATTATTTTCCCAATCTTCACCAATACTATAGAGTATAAAATTTTTAGACTAGAAAGATGATGTGTTACTTTAATATATATTTAAATAAATTTGGTTACTTAGTGAGGTCAATCATCTTTTCATAAAGTGCATTGTATTTGTGAGTGAGAAAGGCTCAGGGGTGGGAGGAGGGAGAGAGAGAGAGAGAGAGAGAGAGAGAGAATTGCTTACTTTTTAAAATTATAAATGTTACAAATATTTTGTTTTAGTTTTTTCATTTATATTTTAGTTTCATTTCTGGTTACTTTTTCCTGTACGGAAGTATTAAATTCATATGGGAAATACACTTCATTCACTTATTTTTCAGTGTCTTTTGGATTTTATGTCATGCTTGAGAAAGGTCAAATCAACTTTTCCAGTATGCAAACCTAATCATTGTTACTACTCTGTTCAAAATTATATAGTAGCTGCAAAAGAAAACAGATTAAAATCCAAATATCATACAGAATGGTACAAGGTCTTCAAGATTTATTCCTCATGTAATATCCAGCTTTCTGCCCATTTTTCCTCACTAATAATAAAGTAGTTTCTAGAATGAAGTCTTCAGCAGTTTTTGCATATATCCTTTGAATGCTTATCAATGCATAACTTGAGAATTCTTATCTCTTTTTTCCTGACTCTCTCTTCCCTGTTATTGTGCATTAAAAAAAAAAGATTTATTTTATTTATTTATGCATACAAGAGCTGGGGTATAGGCCAGAGGTGCAGAGGGTTGGTCCCAGGCTTACTGATTTCAAAATCCTTCCAAATTACTTATCTTATACAAACAAAATTTATAATAATTACATCATCAACTCTCCCACTTTTTGATGTCAGGACACTGTTACACTCTTAAAAATAATCAAGAATGCTCTAAATCTTTTGTTTATGTGAGTTACAGCAATTAATTTAATATTATAAAAATTAAAACCAAGATTTCAAAAACTTATTTAAAAATAACAACCCAAATGCCCAAAAATATATGACTGGGTCAAGAAGATGTGGTACGTATACAAAAGGGAATACTACTCAGCTATCAAAAAAGATGCAATTTGCATCTTGCATGCAATTTGCAGCAATATGGGTGGAGCTGGAAAAGATCATGCTCAGAGAAATAAGCCAGAAAGAAAAAGAAAAAAAACCAGATGGTCTCAGTCATAGCAGGAATTTAGAAAACCTAAATAAGGGACCAGGAAAAAGACTAATTATAATAAAGTAAAAAATCAAAATCAACAAGAAACTATAAACCAAAGGGGGGGGTGGTGTGTGGAGGAGGGAGTAGTATCAAAACAAGGGGGAGTGGGAATTGTATGGTGACTATAACCAAGATGAAAATGCATACACTGTGCAAAAATGAAAAATGATGTAAAAAATATAAAATTTTAAAAATAATAAAAATAATAAAAAATAAGATAAAAATAACAATAAATCCATTACATGTTAATATCACATACTTTACTAAAAATAATTCTATTTCATGAAAATAAAAACTGTAGAGAAAAAAGAAATTTGCATATTATATTATTGCAAATTTCTTTATGTTTGATTTAAGGATGCCAACTAGAGTCTCATTTATGCTTCTGCATTCAATTTGCTGTACTATGTTGTTGGCTTAAGTACAGAAGAGCATCCAGGTAATCAACATCACTTATCATCAGGGAAATGCAAATCATCATCACAATAAGATAGCATCTTACTTTATTTTAAAGGCCTTATTAGATAATATATATATTATATTTTGATACTGTACCAAAATTTTTTTTTAAGATTTATTTATTTTATACAACAACCGGGGTACAGGCCAGATGGGCGGAGGGTGAGAAGATTCACCAGAGACAGAACAGGGAACAGAACAGGCAGACTGACGAAATACACTGCTGAGGGAAGCAGCTGGCATGGCAGGCGAGGACTGTCGCACCACGTGGGATTCTCGCCGGCGGGTTGGGATCCAACCTGCACTGCAGAGGCTGCGGACAGCTTTACAGCGCTGCGCTCAACCACCTGCACCACCAGGGGAGGCCCTGTACCAAATTTGAAGAAGTGGTATTTTATTAAGTTAGTTGCAATATGAAGTCTGAAAACCTACCTATAGACTCTGTACAATTTATACTCATGAGAGAATAAGAATAGCAAAAGTAAACAAGCATCTTAGTATTATCCCAAAATAATTATTTGACATGGGTAGCCCCTTGATATGGTTCAGGGATCCCACATCTGGATCACACTTTGAGAACTGCTGATACATTTATAAGTACATCCTCTAAACTGTACATTATTTCAGCACAAGTTTCTTCTTTTGTACTTAAATATGAATGCCTGTGATTGGTACAGCTGCTTCTTGGTACTACCTTGGAGGCTGAGTATGTTTGGCTTCTGAGATTGACCATTTGCTGACTCCTCTAATTCTTCAAGCCTTCTTTTAAACCTTCACTTCTCCCCACCTCTAAGGTATAATGTGTAAGGTCTAATTATCTAATTATCTAATATGTAAGGTTAATTAGTGAATGCTCATATTATACATTATTCACTTCCCAATTATGCCATATTGTCATATTTTAATAACAGTTACTCCAAGAGCAAACTGGATACTTTTGGTTTATTAATTACTTGTGTGTCATTTATTTGAGAAATAAGTTTGAATCATTGCGTATTTTATATTAACAAGTCTGCACTTAAGGTTGTTTTCTTTTTATAACATTTATTAATCCTTACTTAGGGTCCGATAATTTTCTAAGTACTAATGCCCTGTAACACCAACATATACTAATTTATTCCCTAAAACTCTAAGAGATATACTATTATCCCCATTTTACAGATCTGGAAAATGAGTGACAGAGAGATTAAATCGTTCAAGGTGCTGCAATTGCTAGGTGACATGGCTGACATATGAACCCATATTTTCTCAGCTCTAGAATCCTTGCTGTTAACCACTATGCTACCACTGCCTTTATTTTCTTGAATTAAATATTATTTTTTCTTTAAACCATTTATTTTAATATAAATTCCTATGTTCTCTTTCAAATCTAAAATTCTGTTTTTTGTAGGTAACTTTCACAATATATCTTTGTCATCCTTTTATTTTTTATTTAGCGAGAATATTAGAAAAATACATGGGATAATAAAACTCATCTAAAATTGTTCGGGATGATTAGCGGTTGGTAAAATCTTTTCTGCACAATTAGCACAATTTTATGCAGCAACCCCTGAGTGGAAATCAGCAATCGCAGAATGTGAATCTCAGTCCCCCATCAGGCCCAAACTGCCTCTCTGGTTCTTTTTCTTGATTGCTGTAAGGGGCAACAAAGTTCTAGTTGCCCCCTCCTCCTCCCAATTCCCATCCCCCCAACTCTTAATCCACCCCCCCTTTTTTTTTGAGCAGTTCCTTCCCTTACCCTACCTAACCCAACTAGGGTAAAAAGAAAAGTTGTTCTCAAATCTTAGGTGCATCAGAATCACACTGAGGGCTTGTTAAAACAGATTGTTAGGTCCCAAACCCAAAGTTTTTAATTTAGTATGTCTGGGGTGAGGATTCTAATTCCCATTTCTATGGAGAGCCCAGAGGCTGATACAAAGACCAGCCTTTGAACACTGCTCTATTCTTTTCAATCGGAGTCCCAAAACAGGTTCAAAGGTGGTTATGTTACAGGGCAGGGAGAGGGGCAGCCCAAACTCCGCAAACCTGCCTATTCTAAATGGGTTCTGCCATCCGCCACATCAACACAAAACATATGAGATTTTTAATGGTAAAGAACTTTAATACAACAGGAAAGGCAAAGAATCTAGTTTCTAAATCAAGCACCCAAAGTTACCCGTCCCCTCGTGGGTAAACTCCATGCAAATGGTAAACTCCATGCAAATGAGAGTCCGCAAACCTGCCTATTCTAAATGGGTTCTGCCATCCGCCACATCAACACAAAACATATGAGATTTTTAATGGTAAAGAACTTTAATACAACAGGAAAGGCAAAGAATCTAGTTTCTAAATCAAGCACCCAAAGTTACCCATCCCCTCGTGGGTAAACTCCATGCAAATGGGACTGGCCCAGAGCAAGGCCCCAAAGCCTGCCACAAGGCTAAAGCATCTTCCAGTGGGAACCCACAGAAAAGGGTCAGAAACAACCAGACAAGCCCAGAAGGAAAAGAGCAAAATCAAAATCAAGATAAAAGCTGCCATGGTCACCTCCCCATGGGTCTCTCACCCACATCTGTGTCACCCAGTCTACGACCAAAAGGCAAGCGCAGTTTCTTCACATATCTCTCTGCTCCATGTGCCTCCTCCAGGTCTCCTCCTGGCTCTCCATCCTGCTTCCTTCCTTCCTCAGTCTCCTCTGCAGCTTCTTCTCTCCCTGCTCAGCTCCACCCTCCATTTGGGTGGGGCAGGGAACCTGGAACCTCCCCCTTTCCTGGGGACCACCCTGTTACAGTTACATGCAAAAGGTTAATAGTTACAAGAAAACATTAAAGGGTTCACGTAATGTTATTGTGTCTCGGTCTTGGGCACGCTGCAGCAATGAAAGATACAAAAAACCTAAATAATTTCATTAGCTCCTTCATTCCTCTCAGGGCAAGGCTGGCCCCCACTTCACACAAGTCATCCAGGCAGAAGCCTGGTTTTCTCTACCATACAGGGGAAAACTGCAAGGATTCTATGAACTTAAGCTTTAAATGACAATTCAATCATGAGGGCGACTTTAATTTCCTCGTAATCACACCGATCGTCTGCCAACCATTCGGACCAGTCACACCACGGTGGGCTAGTTCCAGGGCTAAGCGAGGAGGGACAGGGCGCCTGCGCAGCTCAGCGTGAGGCTCAGGTGGAGTCCACGCGGCACCTCAGCAGCTAGGTGCTCAGCTCGGGAGCAGGGGGCGGAGTTTGACAGCGCGTGGGCGTCTACTTCCGGTCACGGGGTCACACGTACCACCAATGGGAAGACTAGACGTCAGCCCCGCTTCCTCACCCTGGCAACGGGTGGGTGACTACTTCCGGTGCTGTGAGGGCTCGGGGCTGACGCGGGTGAGTGTCCCTCTTTCTCACGCTGTCCGCGTTGCTGCCGCTGCATTGCCGCTCCTGTCCCCAGGCCTCGTCTGCTCGCTTAGACGTCTTTTCTGGGGCCGGGCGGGGGCGGCACTCAGGATGCCCCTTGCCTGGGGCCGTGTTGAAGATGGTACCCGGGATGTCCCTCGTTCCCTCGATCGCGCGTGGGGCTCACCGCAGCCCCATTCCCAGTCGGGGTTGCAGCTGCTTGGCGGCCGCATTCCCTCCCTGCTGGAAGGGACTGTCTATGTGTGGGGGATCCTTCACCCACTTTGCTGGTCTGAGACTCAGACACGGGGGTGTGCGCCCAGGTGGGGCCAGAGGAACCCAGAAGTGCCAGTAGTGTAGACAGGCCTGTTTAAAGTCCCGTGGGATTTAGCATTTACTCTGTGGATGTGAAGGAAAGGACCGAGGCCATGGAGAAGGGGCAGCTGGAAGAGGATGGAAACAGCAGTTGGAGGTGCCTTGGATATTGGCACCTTGGATGTTGGTAGGAGGGAGTACAACATGACTCACCTATGTAGGTGAGGGGAATGAAAGGTATTTTGGGGATCATGGGACTGAGATGATTGAATACTAAGTTTAGGAATTTTAATACATTAGGGAATTTAGTTACTGGCCTGTTTTGTCTGTTTTAAATAAAACTTCCTTTGCTCCCCTTCCGCTTGTAAAAAAGAATGCATACTTATTAAAGAATATCTGGAAGATGCAGAAATATTTAAAACAAGATAGCTGGCTTATAGTTCCACCAACAGAGCATTTTATATTTCTTTGTAATTTTGTCGCATACTGTTAACCTACTTGTCATCATAGTGTATGTGTGTAAAATGTGATTATAACTAAAAAACAATTTTTGTACATTGGATCCATTTCGTGGTTAGGTGTGTTTCTTTTTTTTTTTTTGAGGTAATTAAATGTACAATTTGAAATACACTCTTTTAAGTTGTATATTTCTGTGGTCTTAATATAGTCACAAAGAGAGGGGTACAGGCCAGAGGTGTGGGGGGTGAGAGGATTCACCAGAGACAGAGTGGGGAGCAGAACAGGCAGATTGACTGAAATACATTGCTGAGGGGAGCAGCTGGTGAGTCAGGAGATGTCTGCTGTGCCACATAGGCCAGCCCTCTGGTGGGGGATCAAACCTGTGCTGGCAGTGGCTGACAATAGTTTCATCATGCTGAGACCTAACCCCTTGCGCCACCAGGAGGCCCTAGTTATTTTGTTAAAAAAATGTTCTCAGAAGTGGAATTACCTGTAAAACATGACATAAATACCTTTTGGAGCTCATTTAATAGGCGTTAAACCTTCAATGTCATGTTAAGAGCAACACAGCTCTATTTGTTGCAATAGACTACTGAATTTCTGTCACAAGCCTTTTGCTGTAAGGTGAATAGATTTCATGACTTCCTCTCAACTGTTTCTAAAAGACTAAGTAAATCTAGTGCAGAAAAACTTCAACTTCAGTGACAAACCAGACAAGTGGTTGTTTTCTAAATTGTTTTAAGAAAAAAATAGTGTCTTCACATGCAGTAGAAAAATAAAACCCATTTTGAGAGAGATGGGTCAAGATTTACACCTTAAATTAGTGCCATGAAAGTCCCTGGATCAAATAATGTTTTGATAATCAAGTTAGTTTGCATCTCAGATATGACTAGCTTAAATCTTCCTAATTTAGTAGATAGATAGTACTGATTAAAAAATTTGAAATCCAAGAAGGTTACTAGGAACAAAATCAAGTTTCCCTTTTATCCTTGTCCCTCATTCTGTCAGCTCTCTTTAGAGAAACATGTGGTACATTACTTGTATCTGTATAGAATAGTTCATACATAGAGTATCTCTGGAAAGATAGTATATACAAAAATTATACATTTTAAGTTTCTTGATATTTACTGGCCAATTTCTTTTTCAAATGGTTACATCAGTTTAAGGTGGTTATACAATGCTAATTAGAAATTTTCATTTTTGTTTGTATTTCTTTCCTTAATGTTGGATATCTAGTTTATATTCCCTCTTTTGTGTGTTGTCTGCTCTGATCACTTGGCATGGAACTTGTTAGTATATAGTCTTTATGAGGTTTATTTTGGCAACATTTTGCCAATGGTTACTTTATGATAGGTGGGATTTTGGGGAGAAAAGTTAAAATGTTTTTCTAATGTTTAAACCTAAGGAGTATCTGGGGAAAGAGAATTTTGTTTTGGGTAGGTTAAGAATGAGGAGGATACAATTTGAGTTATTAAGGAGATATGTGGCTAGAGCTCAAGAGAGCAAAGATACTTAGGAACTCTTCAATTTACTGAGAAGATACTTTTGAAAGGTTGACAGTGGGTGAATTTGCTGGAGACATTTGCATATAAGCCCATTGATAGGTTGTCTGGGAGTCATGTAAAAGGAGAAAATTGGAAGGAATATGAGATGCTATGAAGAACTAGGATAGTAAGTTGGCATGTTTGCCAAGGCACGCATAGGATCTAGAGAACCAAAGGTTGTAAGCAGAAGATTAATTAGCGGCCATTAGATATAGTAACTAGGAAAATATACATCTGTGGGCAAGAGTCTTCCCCCTCCCCAACGACATTATTAAGATTTCATTCATTTATATCCACTGAAGTGTACAATTAATGATATTTATATTTAGAGTTTCACAACCATCACCACAATGAATTTCAGAGCATTTTTTTCCTTTCTTTTTTTTATTTTATATAATTCTTACATCATTTTTCATTTTTTGCACAATGTATGCATTTTCATTTTGGTTATATTCCCCATACAATTGCACCCCCCCTTATTTTGACCCTAATCCTTCTTCTCCCCATCCCCACCCCGACCCCCCTACAGTGTGTCTCTTGTCCATAGTTGCTTGTTGATTTTGATTTTTACTTTGTATTAATTAGTCTTTTTCCTGGTCCCTTATTTAGGTTTTCTAAATTCCTGCTATGAGTGAGACCATCTGGTATTTTTCTTTTTCTTTCTGACTTATTTCACTGAGCATGATTCCTTCTGGCTCCATCCATGTTGCTGCAAACTGCATGTGTTTATCTTTTTGATCGCTGAGTAATATTCTATTGTATATATGTACCACATCTTTCAGAGCATTTTTATTGCCTGTACAGGAAACCCTGCCCCCAGTAGTAGTCACTACAATTTTCCTCTTTCCTCCCAACCCTGCAAAACCACTAATCAACTTTATGTCTCGTTCGTTAGCTTTGTCTACTCTGGACATTTCATATACATGGAAATACACAGCATGTGATCTTTTGTGTCTGATATTTCATTGTTTTCAGTTGATTCATTTATGCCATTCATATCAGTACTTCATTCCTTTTTATGACTAAATTAGGTTCCATTGTATGACATCACATTTTGATTAGCCACCATCAATTCTTGAATATTTGAAGTGTCTGTACTTTTTGGCTATTATTGGGGCTCAGAGGTTAATCCTCCACCTCTCTGGGTTCTTGGCCTGAACAAATAATCAAAACAGCATCAGAGGAAAAACAAATCAATTTGATAACATGCATCTTGGGATTTTACATGACTGTAAATTCTAAAGAATAATGGAACAAGCCAGGGATATTTATCTTGAATTTCGGGGTCAAGGAGAGAGGGAGAGGATATTTCACATGACAGCTAAGAAGGGGTTTTCTGATCTTCACTCAGCTCAGAGAGGACTCATTCACTGATAAATATATAACTGGATGAGAACCCCTCCACCTCAAACTGCTGTTCTAGGCCTGTTAGGTTCGGTTGGGAAAAAGTCAAAGGATTCAGGGAAGAAGAAAAGTTTCTCCTAGCATTCAGGTCTCTTATTACACTCAACCAAAACAATGTATTCTTCTAGTGATGGTAATGGCCTCGCTAAGGGTCAGAGTGCCTTGATTGACAGCTACCAAAATGACAAGATGACTATTCTGGGCATTTGATCCTTTTGGGGAGACTGAACCTCATACTATTGTGAATAATTCTGCTATAACCGTCTATGTACCAGTTTTTATGTGATGTATGTCATACATTCTTTTAGGTATATACCTAATAGTGGAGTTGCTAGGTCATATGTTAACTCTGTTTAGCTTTTTAAGCAACTATTACAGATGATGGGCATGTTGCCAGTGATTTTTAGAAATAATAAAGTGAATTTTAGTGTAATTCATAGGAAATTGCACATTATTCATATGTAGGCATATTATCCAAAACTGAAGGCACTATGAAATTATTTACTGTTGTGTAAATTGCTTATGTTATCTTCTTTCATTAGAAATCTTTTGAGTTGAGTGTTACTGCAAAGCTTAGCTGAAGTGTTAGACATTCTTCTTGTGAATCAATGTATTGATTAAGTATGCTTCATCAATTTCAAATTATGATTTGTGATATCACAGATTGACAGATTTGACAAAAATAGCACAGGGATATTTGATCTTTCGCAATGATTTATTTTTTTACTACTCAGTCTTAAATGTAGAGATCAAATTATGTGAACTTTAGAAAATTTGGGTTACCTGTAGTTTTTACGGCCCAAGAAGACCCATCAGGAGATATGTTTTTAATGATACTGGTCTCTCCTAGCATAGACACTCTTCCTGTAAATTTTAATTTTTATTGATTTTGCTAAAATGCCCAGTTGAGTTGTATCAATTTGTGCTACTACAAGCAATGCATGAAAACTTCTGTTTCTCTGTGCTCTCTAAACATGCTGTTATCTTTTTGGTGTTTTCCAATTCAATTTACAATATGACATTTCAAATAAAAATGAGTTTTATTTTGTACCTTCGCTTGAGTGAGGTTTAGCATCTTTTGATTTGTTTAAGCTGTTAGGTAGTTTTTCTGTAACCTTGGTTTGTCTATTTGCCCTTTTGTTGGTAATTTGTTGGAACTCTATTTATTAGACAGATCAGATCTTTAATGGGTGCCAGGTTAAACAAAAACTGATGTTGGGTAGAAGTTGCTTCATTTCTAAATGAATTAAAAATATTCCAAAACCATTGGGAGTTGGGGGCAAGAGTTTTATATTGGATTGCTTGTCTATTTGAATTCCTTTCCCAGCTTAGCAGAACTTTGGAGCCAGTATTTTTGGCGGGTTTTGTTGTGGTGACATGGCTTGCTAAATTAAATACTTTTCAGATGGTATATTGCTCAAGAAATAACAAAATTAATTCATTTTTCAACATTTTATTTTTGAAGACAAGCTTAAGAGGCAGACTCTTAAAATCTCATGCATTAAATTGACTTACATCACTACACTTGATCTTAGCCAATACATTTTTTTTAAAGATCTATTTATGCATACAAGAGCTTGGGTACAGGCCAGAGATGCGGGAGGTGGGCAGATTCACCAGAGACAGAATGGGGAACAGAACAGGCAGAGTGACTGAAATACACTGCTGAGAGGAGCAGCAGGTGAGTCAGGAGATGCCTGCTGTGCTATGTGATTGCTCCTTGCCTGGCTGGGGATTGAATTTGTGCTGCATAGGCTGCGTATTGCTTCATAGTGTGGTGCTTAACTCCTTGCGCCACCAGGGAGGCCCCCCTTAGCCAATACATTTAAAAAAAACAAGAAGAAAAATGTAAAAAATAAATAAAAAATAAATAAAATTATTAAAATAAAAAATGACTATTACAGCAAACCTTATTCATTGTAAAATATAGATATAATTTCTTATGGAAAAAATGCATCTGATGACAGTGAGACAAAGTAGTTTGGACATATTTTCATTTTAACTGAAGCTTTTACTTTTTCAAAGTCTGAATTTTCACTTGCTTGGGCTCAATGACTAATGGGCCAAGTTCATTTCATGTCTAGGCCAGATGTGATGTCTGTATAGTCTGACAGATGAAGCAATAATGATTTAAGTTCTACTTCCTTAACTGATACATAAATAAATAAGTAACCTATCTCAAAGAAATAACCAAAGTAAAATAAACATAATTGAGGCAGATCCTTGTGAAGTCTTTGGGAGGTAAACCGCCTTTAGAAAGATATCCACCTCCACAAAACAAAAACAGGCATTTAAATAACTTATTTAATATCAGTACTCTTTTGTGATCAGATTTCTCCTACATATATGATTATATGTAAACATTTTAATATAGCAGTATATTTCTTTGACCTTAAGCTATATACCCTTTAAATGAAATGTTAGATAATAAAAATTTAATGGACTCTCTTAGACTTTGCAGTTCTTCTCAGACCATCTCTGGTGTAATGGACCAATTTTTAAAAATTTTCAAACTTTGTTTACTAATAATTTTTAAAAGAACCCCCCCCAAACCACCTGAAAACAACAGAAAACAAAACTCAAAGCAAACCTGAAATATGGAACTGTGAACTGTGAAAAATAAAGACAAAAGCACAAATTTTTATTAGAGTTAGCAGGTAAATTGTTTTGAAAATATAATTACAAACAAGATGAGTTTAGAAACAGAAAAGAATTACAAAGACTACACATTGTTTATTGTGTCTATAATGTGCCTGTATATCAATAATACTATAACAATGTGGTAACAAACACTAGTCTTTAACTTTGATTATACTGCTTTTAGGGAATAGGTAGCTAAGTTATTCTTTAGCATAAAGAACACATTTTTTTTTAACAGTGTGAATTTAGATGTTTAAGTAGTTTCAACCAACTGGTTTTTGGACTTTTCTTTAAATCATTGTGTGTTGATTTTTAAATAATCACATTTCCCCTAGTCTGAAATGTGTTTCACTATCATTATTGTTATTAAATCAAGATAGCTGGAAGCTTGTGAACTGGTAATAGTCAGAAAAATTAGAAAAAGCCTCGTGGCATAAATTGCTTATAATTTTTAAATTTATATCTCATTACTTATCTATTTAGAAAGTCAGAAATAATTCTTATTCATGAAAATTCATGTTTTTGAAAGTGTAGTTATTTTAATTTCTTGGTTTAGTGATACAATTTTCTTAACATTTGTGTATTACAGTTGAACTATGGAGCATTACACTTTTATTAGGTCCTTCATAAGCAGGTGTGAATCTGGTTGCCTCATTCCATTAAGCAGCACTCTATAGATATTAAATGTTCTTAACCATATATGAAAAAAAAGTAATAATGCGAGGTGATAGATATGTTAAATAGCCTTATTGTGATAATCATTTCATAAAATATATGTTTATCAAATCATTTTTTCACTAAGTTTACACAGTGTTTTTTGTCAGTTATATCTGAATGAAGCTGGGGAAAAAGAGTAAGCAGTAATCCAGGCTTTAGTGATGTTGCCAGCATTACTTGTAGTTCTAGACTGTTCCGGAGATTTTTGTCTTGGACGAGTAGAAAGTGATATTTAAGGTTAAATTGAGCTTTTCTTATAGTTAAAAGATACAAGATCTTTGGAGTCAGTAGTCTTTTTACAAAAGTTCTTTTGCTTATCTTGCTTCAAGTATTGTCAGTGGACAGAGAGATTTAAATTCTAAACTTTTTATATCCCATGTTAAATAAATTTAAAATTAGATGTTTTAGAAAGTTATCTTTGCACAGCTTTGTATGTTACCTGTGTGTTACTAGAAAGAAATGCACACTTTATTTGCCCATTTTTGTTTAGGATAATTCCTGTCCTGCAATTACTTTGGATGGAAGTATGCTTTTTCCCCCAGTAGAAGATGGTAATCTCAGAGAATGACCATGGAGAAGGGGATGAGTTCTGGAGAAGGGCTGCCATCCAGATCATCTCAGGTTTCAGCTGTTAAAATAACAGCCAAAGAGTTGGAAACAAAGCAGCCTCATAAAGAGAAACGAGGGGGCTTTGTATTGGTGCATGCAGGTAAGCTCTAAGTGGGTGAGTAGGAAAATGAAAATAATGGTGATTTCTTTTTTTCTTGCATTTAGGTACAGCAGGGATTGAATTTCATATTGAATTCCATATTCAATTTCATATTGAATTCCATAGGAAGCAAATTGCTAGATGAAGGAGTTGGACTCAAAGAGATTTACTTCCAGATAGTGAGCATCTTCGTTTTCATCAGTTAGAAAATTTTACAATGACAACTCTTCCTATTCTTATACCCTTATTTACTTTTACTTTAGATAATAGATTAAGGTGGTGTTAAAACCAGACAGAGTAATTTTTTAACGGTTTTGTGTTTTTAAAAATAATGGTGCTGAAGCAACATGGATGGAGCTGGAAGGGATCATGCTCAGTGAAATAAGCCAGAAAGAAAAGGAAAAATACCGGATGGTCTCACTCATAACAGGAATCTAGAAAACCTTAATATGGACCAGGAAAAAGAATAACTATAAGAAAGAAAAAAAATCAAAATCAACAAACGACTATGAACCAGAGACACTCTTTGGGGAGGGAGGGAAGGACGGATTGGGGTCAAAATCAGGGTTGCAATTGTATGGGGAATATAAAAATAAAAAAAATAATAAAAAAAATTTAAAAAATTAAAAAAAAATAATGCTGCTAAAATATTTTTGACACCTGTATAGAATTTGGTCATCTTAGAGTATAATTACACAATCCAAGCAGTAGTTTGCCATCTTAATATTATAAATGTGGAAACCTAAATCCAGAGAGATTAAATGACATGCAGATGGTTGGCAAGCCAGACTGAGAAACCCTTAAATGTGCACTTAAGTCCCCGTCTAGTTTTCTTGGTTTTACGGGTTAAGCCTAGGGGTAAGTAAGAGTGACCCAGTTTATGAATCTTTACCTGTGTACTTATGAATACAGGATAAGACCCAAAGCAGACACACAGAGAGAAATTAAAACATAAAAAAAAGGTTTAAAAGGATTTATTTACATATGGAGTGAGAAAAGGTAGAGAAGATAAATTACTGGCTGTATGCGGCTGCTCGTGTCTGTTCTACCCAAAGATATCAACTGAGCAGACAACCAAGTGTAGTCAGAAGCCAGTTGAAAAAAAAGAGAATGGCCCACCTGTGCTCCATTTTTTTTTAAAGCATCGGTGGTGGCTCTTTTCCTCCCCTCGTTCCCTGTGGCCCCTGTCTAGGATGTTAGGAGCAGAGTCTGGAAAGCTCCACCTTTGCCTCAAGTTAGCTTGTAGCGTCCATGTAATTTGTAAAACAACTTTCTCAGTGATTTCTGAAACAAACTCAGATCCACTGTCACTCTGAGTAGAGCTAGGCAATCCAAAGTAAAGAACGCTTTTACCCTTCCTAAGAAGATATCCACAAAGACCAAAAGACACTTAATATTTCCAGTGGTTTGGACAGTTGGTTAAATCCACTTGCCAGTATTCAAAAGAACACATGCTACAGTTTTGAACCCAAATAATTTAATGGTAGGAGTTATACTTGACCCATAACTTTGGGTGATTTGTTGAGGCACTCTGCAAATAGGGGCCCTCTAAATTCAGGTTCAAAGGCATCTCTCCCATAGTTGGATCCTTCATAAAGATATTTCAACACTGGGTGGTGCAGGCCCTCTGGAAGGAGTATCGTTTCATTTGAGTCACTCTCTATGTGGGGTTGAGGTTAATAAGTCCTTGTTCACAGATCCCTTGCTTATCCATGTTAGTATATCTGGGAATAAACTGAGGTAAGTCACGAGGAATGAGTGACCCCGAAAAGCCAAATGAGCAGATGCTGTAGCCCCACATTCAACTGCTCTTTTGCCTTCTGTAATTTTAGATCCATCCCTTTGATCGCCAGGGCAGTGTATCACCACTGTGGCTTTTTGCAGGACCAGGCTCTCTGGTGGGCATTTAATATCTTTGTTCCTGGTTGTAGGAACCTGCTTTCTTTTCATGTGGTGTATGAATATGGAACCATAAGGCATATTTTGATCCACATTTTGCCGTTTTACCTTGAGAGAGTTCCAGGATTTGGGTCAAGGCTACCAATATGTCCTTTTGTGCCGACATCCCTACTGGGAGGACCTTGGCTACTCTGATGTTCTGAAGCATCACCACTGCATATCCTACATGTCAGTGACCCTGTAAACTGCTCCTGCTCTGGCACTGGAGGGGGCTAGTCAGACAAATCTGGTCTGCTAGCACACATTGTTTTAATAGTTTCTAGACAGTTGTAAGACTCCACACACAAGGCTGTCTGCTTTGCTTGGGAGCATGGTAGTTGGATTTAAAGGGCTGGTAGCTTGCAACTGTGCTTTAGGATTATCTAGTTGATAATCTTTGATATTTCCCCACGTGCCTAGCAGTCAACCAGAGTCCACTCTTATGTTCTCTGTTAAAGAACTTTTTGATTAGAAACCTAATTTTCATCATTATTTAGGGCTTTGTCTTATAAAGGTTATTCTCAAATCCCTAACTAAGTAAATATCAATTCTTTTAGGGAACAAATTTCAGATTCATTTTCTTGAGGAAGATGTGGATGATTAAGAGAGAAGAATCATCAGGCTTTTTAATAGGCAATAGTGAATATGCTGTTATTGAGGTTTCAGAGATACCCTGAGCTACATTCCAGGGTGAGAGGATGAAAAGAGTTTGGATAGGAGTGTTGGCATTGGTGGTGATTGTGGCTGGGTGGGATGTAATAACCCCCAGTCTCAAGTGTTATTTAGAAACTACCTGGCTTTTTGTAGTTACTCTTAAGAATTCTGGATTCTGAACAGTAACTTCCCATTTGGCAGGGGCTTTCTAAAGGTCAACAAAGAGGACTCCTTAACCTTTTTTCAGATGAACATTTGCCTTGGGTCTGATTCTGGGAATTTCCTCACAGCCTGGCCTTTGAACATCAGTTTTTGCTGCAACATCTAGTTCAGCAATCAAGATTTCCTGATGTGCCCAGGCCAGATGAGATGTGGAGCTCTCTGGGTGTAGAGAAGGAAGAGAAGGACCAGCAAGAAGGAGTTGAATATATTGATGGAGTAAAAAATGAAATAGACACATTTAATGAATAAACCAGTGAGGAGGTTTTGAAAGTGGAACAGAAATTTAACAAACTCTGCCAACAAACTCCTCTTTTTTCAGAAGAGGTCAGAATTGATCACCAAAATCTAAAATCTTTGGGTAACAACCTGTCACCCATCCACAAGTGTCTGTGCTGGTTGGGGAGGAGGATAAATATGTGATGAATTATTTGACAAGCATTGAGGTAATAGAATTTGAAGCCATTAAATCAGGTATAGAGTAGATTTTTATTTTGATGAAAGCCCTTACTTTGGAAATAAACTTTTCTCTAAAAAAATTTCATTTGAATGAGAGTGGTGATTCATCTTTGAAGCCCACTGAAATTAAATGGAATTTGATTGTGGAGTGGTGTGGTAACATATCTGAGGAAGTATGAATGTATTTCCCTAAATTGTGTATAGTGTTCTAAACCAATTTTACCTCAGTAATGGAAAAAAGGAAAAGTGAACATAGAGGAACTTGAAGGGACTCTGTTCCAGACACCACTTGGACTTCTCAAGTCCTGATCAAAAGAACTCCTAACTTTGGAGAAAGGTTTTTTGGAGGAAGGAGAGGTGACCTTAGTGAAACCTCTTTGGGGACATAAGCTATTTCTATTGCTTCTGGCAGAAAAAAAGCTTTTTGAAAAAAGACATGGCTATAAAAGAGGTGTGGTGGAGAAAAGAAACTGTTAGATTTTAAAATTCTATACAGTTAGGGCTATTATTTTATTTTCAACAGGAAAACATCAGTTTGTATAAATTATTTATATATAAGCAAGATCTCTGATATGTTAATATCAGTTGGTTTTCTTTTTTTCATTACAGGTGCAGGTTATCATTCTGAATCCAAAGCGAAGGAATATAAACATGTATGCAAACGAGCTTGTCAGAAGGTATGACCTGAATGTATATAATCAGAACATTTCCAACCTATAGCAGTTTTACCTTGAAATTCAAAATTTTAAGATTTATTTATTTATTTATGTGAGCACTGGATATAGTCAGAAGCGCGGGAGGGTGAGAGAATTCACCAGAGCGGGGAACAGAACAGGCAGACTGACGAAACACACTGCTGAGAGGAGCAGTGGGTGCGGCAGGAGAGATCCCCCATGCCATGTGGGACTCTCGCTGGTGACCGGGGATCGAACCGGTGCCGCAGAGGCCGTGGGCAGCTTCGCAGCCCAGCACTCAACTGCTGTGCCACCAGGGGAGGCCCGAAATTCAAAATTTTAGGGCTTGATTTATAAGATAACCTTTTGGTTTGGACCACAAAATTACTTTGCTGATATTTGTGGGGCCTTGTTTTGTTTTTTGTGTTTCATTCTCCAAAAGGTGCTCAGATCTTTCCCTTCCTTGTTTTACCAAATTAAAGTCTATGTTTTTTGAATTGTGGACATATTATCAGTTACCTTTTAATCTTTGTGAAGGCGTTGAACTCTTTATTATAAAAGGAATGGGAAAACAGCTCAAAGGCAGCCAATATGTTTTTCTATGATGGGAAGAAAAATAATAAAAATCATTATCACTATACTATAATAAAAATTGTATTATTATTATATTATAATGTAATAAAATTATATATTTTTTTTATCATGTGGTTTGTAGCACAGCAAATTCATTGTCATTTCTGAGATTAGCTTTACCTTTTTCTCAGGTGTGCTTTTTCTTTTTTGGTTTTTGAGGTTTTGCTAAATTGTTGAATAATGTGGGGGCATGAGAGGACTCAGGAGAAATATTATTTGTTTTCATTTTGGACTTTCCTATAGTCTCTTCTAGGCAAACTTTCCATTACTTTCTATGCAAATAGATGTTAATTGGATATTGTATATCAAATAACTAGGTTTTCAGCTCTTTGCATTTGTATTTACTTGCCATTTAGAAGAAAACTTGTACTTTATTAGAGACTCAAGCTTTTTCTTATGAATGAGATCTCTAACTAAATAAGAATATTTTGTTACAGAGATTTTGCTTTAAGCGTTTTATAATAAAGTTAAAAATTCTCTGAACTATTTTATATTATTATTTTTTGAAGTGTGAAATTTTTCATTACCTTTAAAGGAATGTTTTTCTATTATAAATCTGTGGTCATAGAACCCTATTTCTTTTGGAGTTTATAGTCAGTCTTTTTAATTTATACAATGCACTATTTAAACATTTAATGAGGAATACACGTCTTAGTTTCTGTGCTAGATTTTATTCATTGTCTCATTTTGAATAATATTAACAGCTATATTATAAATTATTATGATCATAAATACTTGCTTATTTCAAATCTAAGTAGTTTCTCTCTTGAAGTAGAAATGGAATTAGTGATTACTTTTTATTAACTAAATATCTCCACTTCTTTAAGCTTTTGAGAAGTTGTGGTTTTATAATGAATAATTTCACCCCTTGGTCTCATAGGCAATTGAAAAGTTGCAGGCTGGTGCTCTTGCGACAGATGCAGTGACTGCAGCTCTGGTGGAACTTGAGGTATTTTTTTTCTCTGCTTAAGTTTTCTTTATAATATTTATGTTTGTTTTTCTTAAATGACATGAAGCTTTTGACTTAGTCAACTGTCAATTATTTGACCACCATTTCCCAACATGATAAACAAAGTTATATTGTGATATTATTAGGTTGTTTTCTCTGTAGACTTCTCTGAGTAATATAGAAGTTGGTTAAATTCCTTTTTTCATGAATACAAATGTTATTGCTGACTGGATACCTAATTTTTCTTAATATTGTCAGTAGGAAAATTCCTAAAGTTAACTCCCCTGCAAAGTAATATGTGTGCTGTTATTTAGGAAACAAAAAATTCCTAATATCTGAAGTGTATAAAGTGAAAAGGGACGTTTCCTCAAACCTTATAGGTTGATATGTATCCAGAAGGTATGCTTTATGTGTGATTGTTAGGTTAGTCTCCAGTTAACTGCAGCCAATGAAGAATTCATTGCGTAGACTCTCAAATTTTCTGTGATTCTTTGTACTCCAGAGTACGGAGTCTCTCAGTTCTTTCAGTCTGGGGCCTTGAGAGCATAGGTTTGTATAGGGTATGTTTAGGCCATCAGAGTACAGAATACAGAGTTTTGCCCTCAAACCTCAAACTTATATAAGATAGATTTGTGTGAGTCGGTTTAGAGGACAGTAGTGAGCAAGTAGTTTCCTGGTTGAGAAGACTACTTGGGAAATCAAATAAAACATAAAGATAAAACAGTAATGAGTTTAAGGAGAAGATGATAGAATTGATCTTCCCAAGTTGACTGGATTGTGACCTTATGTTTAGGCTCTCATATCAGTGTATCTACTCTGTCATGCCAGGTCTTGCTTTTCCCTGTGAAAAATATCCAGAAATTTACCAGAAGTCCTAGCCATATGTTTTATATATTGCCTTGCTTGTTTGTGGAGTGGTACTTTTGACCATGATTTGTAGATTTTAATGTCTCATGTGAATGTCTTCAGCTTGGTCCTAGTATTGTTATGGGAGGTGTGAACACAGAGGGTGGGAACCAGTTACACAGTAGTTTGGTTCCTGAGGCATCTGACTCGGGAATATGTGGTCTCTTCCTTTTGTGACTGATGCATTTTATGCTTGCTCTAAGTCATTAGCCATGTGTCCTTGGGCACTTCACAGCCACTCCTTAATTCAGTTTCCCCATTTTAAACATGGGTATAATAATTCCTGTTTCACAGAGTTGTGAAGATTTACTGGGTTAATATATGACAATTATTTAAAGCATTGTGTGGCAATTATAACTAGAATGAGGTGCTTTGGAAACGATATATATAAGGTAAATATTTATAATACCTATAGTGATAAGTTTTGGAATGTGAGCAAAAGATGTATTATGGATAAAAGGACAAAAGTGATACAAGAAAGAAGGTTGATGTATTTTCCAGTCATACCTTTACTCAAACACACAGGAATGCTTCATCAAATTTAATTCAGTTAAAATTCAGTTAACTACAAATCACTCTTTTGTACAGAAGATGAGACCTTGAGATTACTGGTACCTAAAGTCAGTGTGGGGAAAGAAGGTTATTGAGTAGTTGGGAGATAAACTATAATGGCAGCTGTTACAAAATTGAGTAGAACTGAATTTTTCTTTTTCTTTTTACCCTAGAATAACTTTAGTTTTCTCTAGGCATAATTATATCATGTTATATATTTCATTACGTCTCCCCCTAGTGCTGAGTCAATCTTATTTTTAAAGAATTTATTTATGCTTAAACATGATTAGAAATATATTTTGGAATAATGAATTACTCAGGAGTAAGTGAACTTTATAGTTTTGAATGATGACCTATACCTTTTAAGAGTGGTGATAAGACTTTTTTTTTAAACAAACTTGTTCTATTATTTTTGTTATTTAATTATTAAATTTTGGGGAAAATTTCAATACATTATCTTTAAAGATTTATTTTTATGTAGAATCTTTGTAATATGCTGGTAGTTTAAGGTCTAAGACTCTACTAGCTAGAAGAATTTTCTTGAATCTTAAGAATTTTGTTGGAAGTCATGCTTATACTGCCCCCTACAGTTTCTGTTGCCTTGCATAGTTGTGATTCATCACCTTAAATATGGTAAAAATTTTCAAATAGAGTTCCGCTAAAGTTTATAATAGTTTGCATCAATGGAAAAATGTAAGAAAATCAGATCTAATATTTTCTGTACTTACAAATATATAAGTAACAATATTATATCCTTATAACCTACTGTAAGGTCCCAGAGAGTCTGATTTATACTTTCTTATGTATAATTTGACAGCAACTGTCTTTAGTTTCGATCAGTCTATTCAGTAGAATTGAGTCTTACCTATTGACTACATATGGACAGTCATCATAACATTTTTTTTTTTTTTTGCTTTGGGATATAATTTTTGATTAGAAAAAGTCAGTGCTTTTAAACTTGCCTATTACATTATTAATAAAGCAGATACTTAAATTGGTCTGAATTCCTTGAAACCATTACTAACTGTAGACTGAAATGTTTTAATTCCTATTAAAATTATGAAAATTTACACTTATACAAATAGCAAAAACTGATCTCAACTCAGGGCCTTAGAGGAGGAAGAGACAAGGTAAAAGAGAAGAAAGTATACATACACACACTTCATACACACATTTACTTATGCAAGTCACCTAGATGCATTATTTTTGAGCTTTTCTTGGAAAATGATTACTTTGTGTATCATTTTCTAGTCTGCTACTACAAACAAGTGGCAAGTGATATTATCCTAAGACTGCTACTTCTGGATATCAGTAGAGGCATTTCCTTCCTGTAAATGAAGGACTTATGCACGTGCATGTGCATGAGTCCCTGCCTATTAAACTGATCTGCTTCTGCCTTCAGGATTTTGGGAAGGAAGGTGTTCACTTCCATATGAGAGGTGTTCTGTGTGGAAATGAAAATGACAGGACTCCAAAGTGTATTTTGTTTATCTTCAAAATGTGGGGGAGGAAGTGGAAACGCCAGTTTATGGTTATATTTAAATATTTTATTGTCAAATTGATTTGGTCACATGGTTTTATTAGCTATTTATGGCTTTATGAAATTATCCTTTTTGTTGATGGAAAATTGATTTCTGTTCATTTGGCAGTACAACTCTGATTTCATTCATATTAGAGAAGATAAGCATTGTGAAACAATTTGATCTTTGTTCCTGGGGCTATATGTTTGCAGGACAGTTGCTTTTATGACTTTTTTTGAAATAGTTTTGGTTCTAGATAGAAACAGTGGGTTTTAAATGATAGATCATAATTTTGCACATTTCACAGGGTATAGTTTCTGACATGCCTTTCTTCTTTGAGGAAATTGGTTGTAGATCTGGATGAGTCATGATGCTACTGCTGAAGTAGAAAGTATTTCATGAATTCTGGTTAAAAATGAAGTATTAATAAAATAGCTCCTTTTTTTTTTTAAAGATTTATTTACTTACACAAGAACTGGGGTACAGGCCAGAGGCGCAGGAGGGTAAGAGAATTCACCAGAAACAGAACTGGGAGCAGAACAAGCAGACAACCAAAAGCACTGCTGAGGGGAGCAGCCGGCAAGACAGGAGAGGTCTGCCATGCCATGTGGGTATCTCCCTGGCTGGCTGGGAATTGAACCTGCGCTGCAGAGACTGTGGACAGCTTCACAGCTCTGCGCTCAACCCACTGCACCACTGGGGAGGCCCATCATCAGTATCTATTTTTAAAAAGTATTAAGACTTGAGTTTAAAAGTTCTGCTAAGGAATAATTGGTGAAGATTAATAACAGCCTTTTAAGAGGTTTGTTTGTAGTCCTGTGAGAAAATCTGTGAGTTTTGAAGATCTTATAGCTTTTGAGAGATTTTGGTCATTTCATTTGAAAATGGATTATTTTGGTAGATTGTTACTGTGCACTGAAAACAGTAATAGAAATAGCTTTGAAATTTCACACTGTAAAAGTTAAATTACACAGATTCCTTTGTTACAATATTTTGCTGAGCTTATGTTATATAAAATGGACCCTGCAGTTCTTTTGTTGACTTGGTTCATCTTTTAAGGCTTCCTATGGGTAGGTGAGATGGTAATTCATAATTGAAATTAGTTTATTGTCCAAATTTATTTAAAGATCAGATTATATTGGGCATAAGTTTTATATCTGTCTGCTAAAAGCTGTTTGTTGTCTTTAGATTTATGTAATCCAATTTAATGCTTACTTGTAAACTTTAGGAAAATTCTTAAGAAATCTTTTCCAGATGACTATTAGTTTGGGTGTGAAAGAAAAAAGTAGGTATTTGCATTATATATTTATATTATATATAACATTGTCACATGTTTGTATCTTTTCATTCTCTTATACCCATGACCAGTTCTGCATGCATTTCTTTATGGCGGGAATCGCTAACATGTCACCTGCTAGAGTAGTCCTTTGTTGCATCTCAGTCCAGGCCTCTGTGCAGCAGCATGATTAGGTCTACCCCTTTACTTGGCTATATAATTCCAGCTGGAATTATCTGTGTGTTTCAAGGGGAGAGAGAGCACCTAAGGCTCGCCAGTCTGTGAACTGCTTATTGGTTATATAGATATTGTGATATTCTGCTGGCATATGGGCCTATCTAGGATGGAAGGGGTTATTGGGAAGGGCTGATATATCCTTCTTCTCACCAAACCTATAGCAAATTCACTTATAGGACTTCTCTTCTTTTTTTTTTAATAGGACTTCTCTTTAGATTGATGCTTACTCACCTGTTCCTTATGCCACTTTCATGTTTGGTTTTTATTTGCAAAAATGGAGGGACATCATGTCTACAGTCATTTCTATTTATTTGGGAGATTAAACAATTATTTAAATAGACGAGCATCTCCAGTCTTTTTTTTTTTTTTAAGATATTTATTTATGCATCTAAGAGCTGGGGTACAGGCCAGAGATGAGGGGTAGTGAGAGGATTCACCAGAGACAGAGTAGAAACAGAACAGGCAGACAGACTGAAACACACTGCTGAGGGGAGCAGCGGGCAAGGCAG